GTTCCTCCGCCGCCGCGGCCGCGCGGCTAGACCCGCCTCCCACCCCGGGCCGCGGGCACCACCGATTCGCCGGCGCAGCCCCGGGGCTGGCACCCTGCCGCCCGCTGATTGGCGCCCCCAGCCGCCTGTTAAGGCGCGAGGAACGCCGGCCGAGCGGAGCGCTCCGCGCGCACAGCAGACGGAGGGAGCGGAGGAGGAGAGGAAGGAGGCCGAGCGCCAAGGGAAGGACTAGGGGCGAGCGGGGCGCCGAGAGTCGCGGGCCACTACCTCCCCGCCTCCCTTTCCCTTCGGCAGCCCCGCCCTCCCGATTGGACCGGCGGCGCCCGCAGCCAATCATCGCGTTGTCTGGCCGGGGTGTGAGCCGTGCGTCGGATGCCTTGAATCGGAAGGGAGACGTCGCGCGCTGATTGGTCCCGCCTCCTCCGTAAAGCGTGAGGCAAGGCGCGGCCGGCGGGCGGTGGAGGCCGAGTAGGGGCTGGACGCGAGTGGTCTCGGCAGATTTCGTTTCCAGCGCGCTCCCAGAAGAGACTTTAGGGAAGGGAGGGACGGAGGAGGAGTAGGCACGTAACCTGCCGCGCTGGGAAAATAATCCCTGGCGACCACCTGGCCTTGTCGCTTCCTGGGTCCCCTCCTCCGTTCTTGAGAGCGCCATTGGGTGGGGCCAGTTTGGGGGCCGCCGCCTTGTCCACTTTCCGTAGTCAAGGCAGAGTGGGCACATCCTCATCCCCGGAGAGGCTCTGGTCTCTCCCGGAGAACAGGACGAACAAGGGGCAGAAAGATTCCTGAGGAAGCCGGCAGGGGCTCTCAACCGGGCGCGCCCTATGCAAATAAGTGGGCGGGTCCCCTCGTGGTGTAAGGCGGGGTCAGGGTTCAAGATGTAAATAAGCCAAGAGCTAGGCATCTTTCCTGTGCATTTAGGTTGAGGGCAAGAGATGCTAGACATTTTTGTTAGGTAACCTGAGTCTTGGTTCCAACTTAAGTAAAAATGGTGCTAATGCATCTATGAACGATCCCGGTGAAATCTAAAGGATAAGTGTAAGCACGATTCCTAATAATTGTTGGGTTATCGTCCCTTCCCATTCATTTCTCTACTGTTCTGGCACGCCTTCTTGCAATCTAGATGTTCCTAGGCCTGAACTTCGCACAGCTGCAGTAAGGAAGGCACCAAGGCCCTAAGATGCTGGCTACCCAAGGCTGGGGCACAACTGCAGTCCAGAGGTACCTTTGCCACTTTTACCTCAGGAACACCCAAACCTATACTGACAAAAATATTACACCTCACTAATCATATCAGAAAAGGAGGTCTGGTGGTGTAGTGGTTAAGGCATTTAGCTGCTAACCAAAAGGTCAGCAGTTTGAACCTACCAATTGCTCCACGGAAGAACTACTAGGCAGTCATCGTCTGGCATAGTGCCTAAGGCATTTGACTGCTAACCAGAAGGCTGGCAGTTCAAACTCACCATCCACTCCTCTGGAGGAAGATTGGGCAATCTATGTCTGTAGAGATACTGCCTTGGAAACCCAAGGAGGAGTCGCTCTGAGTCCAGTCGCCTCCAGGGCAGTGAGTTTGGTTTTGGTTTTTTGGGTTTCCATAAAGATTTTGGCATGGGAACCCTTTGGGGAGGCTCTACTCTGTCCTGTAGGGTCACTATGCATCAGAAATCTACTCCACAAGAGTGTATGTGTGTGTGTGTGTTTTGATTTTGATTGTGATTTGGGTGAAAGTCTACAGAGCAAGTTCATTTCCCATACAGCAGGTCATTACACATTTTCTCTCATGACATTGACTGCAGTTTCCCACAATGCAACAGATTTCTTCCCATTTCCTCCCCATAGTTACTTCTTCCCTGAGTCCTTCCCTCCCCTGCACCCCCCCTTGCAGCCCACTCCCTGTGCATACACTGCCCTTCTGTTCTCCCATGATTTCTTCAAGGAGCATATCTACCTAATGTAAATGTTCAGCCCATATGCTTGTCTTTTGTTTGGCTGGAAGCCACAGGAGTGGCTTCAATTCCAGACCTGAAGGGCAGCTGGGGGCCATAGTCTCAGGGTTCTATCAGACCAGCACACTAGTCTTTTTTTATATATTTATTTTTTTTAATGATTTTTGTCTTTTTTTTTAAATGATTTTCAGTTTTGTTCCACATTGTTCTCCCACTCCATCCAGGATCTCCTACGCAGATCCCCCTCTGAGTAGTTGACGGTGGTAGCCAGGCACTGTCTAGTTCTTCTGGTCTCATGGTCATATAGGCTGAGGATCGTGTGGTGTACCAGTCCCTTGGACTAATTGTTTCCATGTGTCTTTGGTTTTCTTCATTCTTTGCTCTGAACGAGGAGAGACCTATTGTTGCATCTAGATGGCTGCTTGCAAGCTTTTAAGATCCCAGGTGCTGCTCACCAAAATAGGGTGTGGAACAATGTTTTTGTATGTTATGCCAATTGAGCTTGATGTCCCCCAGCACCATGGGCCTGAGCCCACAGGTCCAACTACTCACTCCTTCCAGGTAGCTGGCTGTGGCCAAGAAGTTACCACAACCCTTTCCCTTGTCAGCTCTACTGTGTACCTGGACGTTCTTAAGAACATACAGATATACTTCTACAAGTGTTTTAAATCACCTCAAGTATTTATTAAGAAGTATCTAATATGTTAGGCAAGGAGCACCATGGAACTAAAGTTAGAAAGAATCTCAGGTTTAGCACAGGTAGCTGTGGCAGAGACAAGACTACTCTTATTGGGTGTCAGCAAGTTGTTTCCAATTCATGGTGACCCCGTGTGACAGAGTAGAACTGTCACATAGGGTTCCCTAGGCTATAATCTTTTGGAGAGTGGATGGCCAGGTCTTTTCTCCAGCAGAACTGCTCTGTGGGTTTGAACCACCAACCTTTTAAGTTAGAAGCCAAGGACTTGTCTATTTGTGCCATGACGGCTCCTTAGAGATGAGATTAAAACAGTTTTCTTGGCTCCCTGCCCAATACTCTCTTCTGTACTCACTTCATTAATGTTATTGGGTACTCAGACAAGTGGTGAGGCATTACAAGCAGTAGAATCAGGAAGTACCAGAGGAGTATTTCAAACAGTTCTCAAAGTGTACTCTTCTCAGAAATGGAGGACATCTCAGCTAGACTCAGAGAAATATCTGGCCATCTTGTATCTGAGTCTTAGAAGTTTTCCAGAGTTCCTTTCAAAATCTCCATCATCTCTCTACTCAAGCATGGAAGGAATTTTCTGATTGAAAGGTTGTGATGAAAAGCATGAACCCTAGGGTTACGCAAATAGAAATTTTGAATGTTCCCCATTTATGATCTTTGAGAAGTGGAACTCATGTGCAATGATACCTTTACTTTAGGTGTGTGATTATTAAATAAAATAAATCTGAAAGTGAGTAGCACAGCGCTTTGAGTTTAAAAGAAAGTCAGGTATCATTAATCTTTCCTTTCTGTTGCTTGTATGCATTCTGCAAACATGAACCTACTCAGCAGAAAGGCTTCCTTCCAAAATTAACTTCTTCCACTGTCAGTTTAGAGGCAGCTTTACTCACTCATTTTTGAAAATAGCTGAGAAGGAGACCCAGGAAGCCAACCAGTGGAGCTGTTCCACCTCCTGTGCCTTCTGTTTCCATTTCCCAGAGTCACCAGGGAACATGGTCTTGGAAAAGGGAGGTGGTCAACTTCGAAGTAGGAGGGCTGTTTCTGGGTTTTGGTCCTTCATGCTAACACAGGTCAACAGTTTTAATATGAAGCAGCCTATAAAAAGCTGTCCTGGGTCACACAGACATTCTCTCCTATGTGACCAGGCTGTGGGTTTTGGTGTCCACCGGGGTGAGTAGGTGTGGGAACAAAGCAGAGCTGATCAGGACTGCAGAAGCTTATTCCCAGCACGGAAGTCGGGCACTTGGGAGGATACATCCATTCAGTGGATAACCCTTAGCCTAAATTAGAGCATCACTTTGAGTCCCTAACTCTTCCATTTAGGAAGTCTTCAGAGATATGTAAGATTTAGGAAAGGAGAGGAGGGGCAATCTGGTTCCAGTGCAGTCCCCAACAGGCTTAAAAATGGGAGCATGCCTATTGTCCTGCTAAATGTGTCTAAACCAAAGTGGGTCAAGATAGAAACTGAAGGCAGATGGGGCAGGGATTGCCTTGGCAACAATCAGCTTGGAAATCCACTAGGGCACTTGAAGATCAATCAGTGGGTTCCTATTGTATAAATTACATTGAGTGAGTCTTATTTTTATATGGATAGACACCAAGTTTAACCCTTCATTATGCATGACACTGAAAAATCGATTCAATCAAAATCAATTCAGAATCCATTTAAAAGGAATTAAATCCCCTGGAAAGACAACAGAAGAAAAATGATAATGGTGGTTGCTTCTGGAAAGAGAGTCTGGGAGTCACAGGTAGAAAGCTTACATTTCATCATTAATTTTTCTGTAGCTTGATTTTTTAAAATAGTATATTCATGTTTTGCTTTTCAAAATAAATGACTCATCTTCCACCTCCTCCGTAGTGAATTTGTAAAGTTCCTTTCTACCCCATCCCAAAGCTGTATCACTCACCTATGAACTCTGACATACCTATGTAGTGAAAATGAGTTCCTTTATGTGGCCTTTTGCCTTAGTTCTTTGGAAAAGCAGCTTGAGAGATTTTTCCCCTAAGCCCTAAGGCGTCACTTT